TGAACAGATAATCCACACGAACCCTGCTGCTTGGTATCGGTATCAGTGAGTACCTAAACTGAAGTACTCGTACTTGTACTCAGTCTTGAAAAAACTGGTATCGAGACACCCCTAATTACAAACGTTTACTGTTTTTATCTGGGACAGGGAGTTCTAAACATAACCTTCCTGCTACGTAAGCAGACACAAAGCATTGTGGGAAAGCAGAACCGTGACCCAAAGCAACAGTCAGCAGGATGTATACCTTCAAAATAAGTGTGTTTATCTGGGAGGGGTGCTGTTGGATAGATCATGTGTTGTGATTCATTGACAGTCATACCTTCTGCTGTTCAACATAATGATGACTGGTAGATAATTAGTTATTAGCGGTACTGCATTTTAATTTTAGAAAGCACAAATCCGCTTATGAATTATAAAAATTAGTAAGACCCCTAAAGCGCAAACGAAATGTTTAGTTAATGTTTAATCTGCAATTAGCGGACTTGCGCTTAAGCGGACTGGTGCCCACCACTGGATATTATTTTAGGTCCACCGTTTTTCTTTTCTCCATCACAATTTAAAAAAAAAGAGCTGATTCCTGTACAGAAGTGTTTCTACAAATTAAAATTGAAATGGAGCGACTTTAATTTTTAGATTTTCAGTTTTAGTCCAGATTCTGATAATCCTGACGGTTCGGTTGTAGCAGGTGGTTTTAAAATGACACACAGGGTCTAAAGAGAAACTCTAACATTGTTTCTCCTGGTGTAAGTCATCCCAGTGTCTGGTGGCTGCTGCTCCTGTCACTCAGACAGGTGAAGGTGCTGGACTGAACATGTCGGGGCACAACAGTGGAAATTTCCATACTTGAACCCAGAGATCGAGTCGAGGCAGTCATTCAGGCAGGTCACGTGTGTGTGTGTGTGTGTGTGTGTGTGTGTGTGTGTCAGTGTGTGCCCGCTGCATACTCGCCCCATTGCCAGCCTCACAACCATAAAGACGTCCATTTAGAGAGGTCACATGATGAGATCACGAGCAGAGGAGGGGGTGGCAGCAGCAGCAGCAGCAGCAGCAGCAGCAGGAGGAGAAAAAAAGTCAAATATTGTTTTAGTAAAAAAACAAGCTGAAGATAAAAGACATGAACTGCAGATGACTGATGTGTTGGAGTGAGACACATGTCTCCTGTCAGCAGAGAACAGGACACGGTGTTCCTGCTGTCTGAGTTAACTGAAAACACAAGACAACATCTAATAACATGAAACACTAAAATAACTCCTCAAACCTTCCGTTTCTTTCATGTTTTACTGACATGAAGACCCCCGGCTCTGTCACATTCTTGAACTGGTTAACAGGAAGTTGAGTGGAACTGCTGGATGGAAATGTGGAGCAGAGCCGTTTGCTGGCTTTGCATAGAAGCTGAAAACACGAGGAAACACCCTGACTGTCCAGAGAGAACACCAGGAACATCATGAGGAGGAAAGTGGGGGAAAGTCAGATTTTATTGTTCTTGTGGTGTTTTTTTTTTGTCAGGTTGAAGCGAACTCTGCAGCTGGACTTTAGTTCTGCAGATGTTCTTGTTTGCAACATTCAGAGTAGGGTTGGGCTATATTGGCAAAAACATTAATCACAATTATTTGTGGTATTTAGCCAATAATGACTAATTTAACGATTAATCCCCTGGAGTCCCTGGACACCCTTATGTCCTGGTCACATGACCAATTCAGTGGGAAAGATTTGCTCTTCGTAAAAATCTGTTCCAAATTTTGTCAAAATTACTTCAGGCTGTACATCAAATTTTAAATTGTGTTGATAGAAAAATAAATTACAGAACTTTCTTTAATGTTCGTCATATTTGAAGTGGTCATAAGCTGTGTGTTGTGCATGAAGCTGATAATAAACACAAAGAAGCGATCTGTTGGAAAATAACAAAGTGACACGCACAGGCTGACAGATTTGTTTCTCAGGTAAACGATGACTCAGCATCAGTTGGACCAACTGTCAAAATGTAAAGAACTGAGTTCTTTTGTTTTACATGTTGACTGGAGTTTTTCTGCTTGGTGCTGATAGTTTGTATAAATTACTGATGGTTTTTAATTTGTAGTTTTAGGTTTTGAAAAGCATGTTTGGATCAAACTGTAAGTTTAACCTCAGGCTGTGTTCAGTTTGAGGACATCCACTCTGTTTTCTGCTCGTCTGCAGGTTAAAGCTGCTCAGCAGCAGATCCTCACATCAAAATGTTTTATGTTTTTTGTCTTCATGCAAACTCAGGTTTTATGATTCAAAAAGTCAAAACTTTGTTTTTTCTTTCTTTTTTTTGTTCAACTACTGCGTACTTTCTATTTTAGCAGATTTGTCTTTTGTTTTTTGTAGTTTTTATGCTTTAAAAAAGTAATTTTCTTTACAGATATTGAGTTTCCCCCCAAAAAAACAAGTCGTGATTTCTACAAAAATGCATCATCATTTGTAAAGTAACCAAGTACAAATACTTTGTTACTGTACTTAAGTAGAATTTTTGGTTATCTGTACTTTACTTGAGTAATTATTTTTCAGCGTACTTTTTACTTTTACTCATTACATTTTTACACAATTATCTGTACTTTCTACATTTTTTAAAAAGGTAAGAAGTAGAAAGTCGTTACTCCTGTTTTATTCTGAGTTATTATAAAAAATCCTCTCC